AATGGAGCCATTTTTGCTGAAAATTCAGGTTTGTAAAATCCTCAATATAGCAAAAAAAAGGTTGTTAGCCCACCAGCTAGTCACACCGCACACAAGTCACGTATCACATACAACCTAGGTATTGCCAAATGTATCCTGCCTCATCAAATTGAATGCATGTACGCACAACGATTGACCGCTTGTCAGCCAAGCCCGGCTGTCCTTACCAGCCAATCATCTCCAAGGCTGAATCAGACTTGAATACGCTGAGAGACTCCTCACGGTTTGACACATCGGACGCCGCCCTCGCGGTTCCGGACGTCTTTTTGTCCAAGTAACAACTTCTCAAAACCTATTTTCCAGTAGTTCTATACAGAATATACTATCCTCCCAATAAGCGTCCTTCTTCATTGCTTCCTATACGGGATTGGACCTGAAGTGTGATAAAGGCAAGAGTCTTCCCTAATAACCTAGGCGGCCACGATACTTCGTCAAAATTGCAAAAAAGGTCACAGCTCCCTTGTTTGCTCACCTCATATTCCATTCGCATTTGAAACAATCGCTTCCAGAAGGAAAATGTCAATTTGTTCATTTGTATTCCAAAGTATTTACTGTTTAGTCCCGAGCGATTGCCGACACCTGATAGGTTGACCATAAATACAGCACTGAGACACGAGCATTAATGAAAACAGTTTAAGTGTAACGATTTAATTACCAGAATCAATAACAAGGAGAAATTCAGCGTTTGAGAATGTGCCCTTACTAGAATGACAGCAAAATTTACTTTGTTGCGGAAATATTTGCGAACAAATGACGACGGAAATTTCGCATATTTTTTATTCGCTAAATACCTCACGTGAGGCACAGGTAACCTAAGTAGCCTATGAGTGGTAGGCAACCGAATAATTGCGCTTGCATTGAAATAATTTACAGATTTATTTAAATAAAGTTAAATAAAATAAGGGTAATTCTGTTAGCTTGCTCTGATACAGCCTTTATTTTTGTTCACATGAACCAGGCATGTCCTGGGTTCTGCTTACACAAAAATGGTCAGTATAATTATTACCTAAGCGCCATTCCATGAGTAGTTGCCCGAGGAGTTCATTCTCCAGTTTCTCGATGGACACCCCAACGGCGAATTCGCCTTCGGATACGAGGGTCAAAATTGGCGTTGTGCGCATGACTTTTGCACAACACGAAACCATCTAAGGTAGATGAATAATTAATTAAAGTATAAAGATTAGTGGTGGTGTGGAGATTCGTATTTTCACTGCTTCAAAGAGGCCACCGACTGGGCTATCGTGCTAAAAAATTAGTATTGACAAATAGGAAGGAGTATTGGAGTATTTCAGTCAGTATCAGTCAGTATATTTGGACTAAATGACGGAAGCCCGTAAAAACTCCATTGAAACGGTACACGAATGCATAAATATTTTTGTTGCCTTTGTTGTGCAAAAGTGCATAAAAATATTTTGAAAATATGAATTGTTGAGAAGGTTTGGCGTTTGCGGTATGGCAGCGTACAAAAAGTTCACTGTATACCCAGTATTCGTCTGGTGATCTTTAGTGTAAAATAAAAGCTCTATTGAAATCAAACGAGTAGTATGTTTGTTTGTAGTTCTGTTTTTAGTGTTCGTCGTCATTTATGTTAGGTGGCTGTTGAGCTTTAACAGATGATTATCCTAACGTCTCTTGAAGACGTTCACAGTGGGTGAATGCACAGTAGACTCTGGCAAGGAGTTTCACTGTCGACTGACCCTTTGAGAGAAGAAGGATGTACGTTGGTTTGTTTGGTTTAGTTCCTTCTTCAACTGGCAGTCATGTCTTCTGAGGTTCCTTCTTGGGGCCATTTGAAAGAGATCCTCCTACTTGACATCCAGACCAGTTCCCCTTAGTAACTGAAATGTTGCTAA